AAATTGTGACCATTGTATTGACGACTCTTAGCACTAAAATTGTGACGCGATAATTTTATATATTCGATAACTTTTTGTTTAAACATTAAATTATTATACATTGTGTAATAGTATATGTAGTAGGTACTACGATCTTTTTAAACGCATATTATATTATTTTTATAGACTTAAAATTATAAAAAAAGAACAAGAATATGTTGTGATAACAGATTTTTAAAATCATTCATCAAGTTTATTAATAGGAAGCATCTTGCTATTCTTACGATAAAAAAAATGCTTAATTAAAAGATAAATTATTATTCAAATAAAAACTGATTAAATCTTTTTATATGAATAGTAATGTTAGTACAATTAGATAAAAATATTCGATTTTAACTGACTTAATATTTTGTTTTGTTTTCAATGTCGGAGCAGTGTCGATAGAAGCCAACAACATACACACCGGCGGCGGCGGCAAGTAAATATAAATAGACCATTTTTATTAATATGTCATTGAAGTAAGTATTCCGTCTCGTGTTTTCTAACGGGATATCGTCTAAATTGTGACTTATTAGTTTTAAACGAAGTTGTGACATTTTTTATAAATAACCAACGCGATTATATTTGGTTAATTTGTTGTTATACTCATATTTCGGCTGTTGATGTTTCTGATGGTAATAAATGAATTATAAATTAATCTTTCTTGTGCATAGAATACAATTTGTTAATGTTAAACTAATGACGTTTCCTTGGTGTTAAATTTTGGAATTATATTTTTAATTAGAGAAAATGTGTCAGCCATAAATAATTTGTATGAATTTGTGATTAGTATTGTTTGATAGTGTCGCTATATTTTAATCTAATTAAAAAATACCAATAGCAATTTTGTATATTTTCTCTCCTCTGATGTAAATATAGAAAACGATCGGCAGTTTGTACTGAAATCTATATATACAGGGTGGTCCGAACTGTATTCCGGAAACTTCAACAGCATATTCTGCAGATAAAAATAAGTAAAAAATGTATGTCCTAAAATTCTTACTTTCAGAGATACAGGGTGTAGAAGTTTCATTTTTGTTTCGATTTTTTCCAAATAATTTCTGAAGTAACATCAATATTTGGATGGAATTTGGTGTCTGGGAGTTTTTTGATATGAGAAATTTGATTTTGATGTCAATATGACTCCTACTAGTAGAGGGCGCTATGATAAAATCTAGGTAACCCAGATCCAACAAAAAAAAACAACTATATAATAAACATAATATATTCTTATTACACACGGTAAGCAAATCGCAGATAATAGATAGTAAGCAGAATATAGATATTAGTAGGCCGCTGTCGCTCGATAACAATACTCATACTACTATTACTATACATTACTCATACTTTAACTAATACAATGTTAATCTTATGTTAACCCACATTAAAATTATCCATAATATATGTAAAGACAACATTACCTCCAGTTAAAATGTATGTTTTATTTCAATTTGAAATTGAGTGAAAATAAGAGAATATGTGTCAGAAGGATATATTATTACATATATCTTACTTTCAATTTCATCTGACGCAGCTTGACAAATAGAATGTTCCACTATTATATTAGATTCTGCCAACAGAGAAATGTTCGGCTTACGAGCGCTTTCTGATGTAAATACGTGGATCTACACAGCACCAGCTTTGGAAGACGTAAGATTATCCATAGTGGTAATCTTGAATAATAGACGCTGCACATATTCACTAAAACCTCAGCTCTATAAAAGCATTATATCGGATAAGGAAAGGGTATGGAGTATTTTGTCGTAAAAGAAGTTTAGGAGAAGACTAAAACTATTTTATGCGTTTTTTATAAATAATCATTCTTACAATTTTGAAATAATACGATGTATATTATCTATAGATTTGGGCTGCACGCACACATAAAGTGCAAACTGTTTTAGTCAAAAACGTTTTTGTGTCGGTATATACTATGTTTTTTTTTCTCAGGTAAGATTTCGACAGACGATGACAGAAGAAAAACAGATGACGTCCCATACCAATTTATTTATTTTATTAAAAAAGTTTCTAATATTTTTTGGTTAACTATGGATGGGTTTAAATATAAATCCGTCATGCGTCGTATCTTGTTGTTTTTAACCAGTTTTATTGGTTTATTTCAAAAATGACAGATCATATTACAATTTTATTGATCTGACGGAACGATGAATGACAAACCGACGCCGATGCGTATGAACTCGTCTTTAGATTTTTGAGGCTTGTCAAAGTCTTGCAAAATTATAGGTTATAATTTTGTGTCAACTTATGTCAAATACCCTGCGTTTTGGAAGATGATGCATTTTGATTTGTGTGAGTACTTGTGTTTTGTGTCTTTTGAAGTCAAGTGGAGGAAAAATCGAGGGAAAATTAACTGTAGACTCAGAGCAGCTCAGTTTATAGTTAATACTCGCTAAAGTCTTATACACCAATAAAGTTACCATCCATAAAGTTTGTATACCATCTCGTCGTAGATAAGTGCATCTCGTATATGCTACAAGGATCGTAATAAACATACTACTGGAGTAGCTGCAAAATATCGACATCACACAATAGTTAAATAATGGATTTTAGTACTGCAGTACTCGCAGAAAAATAACGTCAAAAGGTACTGGTATAAAAAAATAAGATTAAAGTTAATTATTAATAAAATAGTTTGTTTTATTTATTCCTGTGGAATATTACAAATTTGTATTTGTACATAAGTTATATTGATAAATACATATAATAAATGCGGGAAGTTTCTTCAGGCTTGAAAGTAAGAAATAGTTCTTTTTATATTTTTTGGTATGTGGTGATTTGTTCTTGTTTGTTTTGTATTAAACACATACCGTTTTTTTTTTAATAAAATAACTCGATTATATTTTTTCAGTTTTATACAGTTTTTTCACAATATTTTGAAGTAATCACTTATCAGTAAAAATTTAAGTATATTAATTTCCTGCTATGCGTTCCAGTTGTATCAACTTATTTCTTTGCAAAATAAAATAAACTACTTGGAAAATAAAATGACAGAGACATCTATCACTGTAAAGAATCTTATCGTTGGATAGACTATAAAAATGTTTTTGTCTTTTATAAAAACATTATGTTCCGAAGAGAAGCAAAATGTTTTATTTCCAATCAAATATGCACCTCAGCAGATACAGAACGGGCCGTGATAAAAGGTATTTTATCATAAAGCGAAGGTCGAAGTCGATCAGCTTCACTGTGACTAAACGAGCCAAAACCTACCTTAACGCTCGCGAGTGATCACTGTGCGTTAGCATATTTAATCTGCATTACAGCATCAATCCACAATTAGTCAAAAATTTTTCACTAAAACTGTTTTGCTCTTTCTATGTGGGCCCAACATTACTGAATTGCATTCATTTGTGTAGACATAGTCAGATTCTTCTTCAGATAATAATCGTTTTCAAACATTTTGACTAAAAAATAACGTAAATTATCTTAAAATTTTAAAAGTGTTTCAGAGTTATTTTTTCAAGGATATTAAGATATAAAACGAATAATAACATATAATAATTTAAGTTGCAGTTATTTGAAAATATTGTAATTATTCTGTTTAACTGCACTTTTATATAGAAGTTTTAAAATACGTTTACGGCACATAATATTTAATCGGCAAATTTAGTTGTTGGCATGCATAATAAAGCGGTCTAAAAATATACACGCCAAATCAGAAAATTTTGTCAAGTGCTATGTTTTGGTTGAATATATATTTTTCGGCCTGGTGAATAAGAAAATAAATCTAGGGATCTATTAAAAGAAATGTTTAAAGTGGCAAAGTTATATGTAGATTATACGATATTGGGCATATCAAATTTTAGGGTTTACAACACTATACTTATACCAACAACATAGATTTTAATAAATAATATTTTCTTGCATTTAGCTGAGTGAATTACGACAAGCAAAACAATTTTCTTTTTGCTTTTTATTTTTTTTTCTCAACTTTCGATTTTTCGAAATTAGAAAAAATACACAGCTAAAGGCAAGAAAATATTATTTATTAATATATTCTAAAGCTGTAAGAATTTTGTTCATTTCATATACAACATAGATTTCATAGTATGTGTAATATAATATATAGCAAAGTAGTATTTATAAATACCGTATGATCGAATAAAAACGGCGTCAGCGATGGGTATGAAATGAAGATCGTTGTCATTTCATATGTAAAATTATATGGGATCGTCATTTCCAAGCCAACTGGACGCCATTTTGTTTCGATCATACGGTATAATAGTGTGTATAGTAAAATATATTAGGTACACAATCGTATAATATATTGTTTTAGTAAAATAAGGATTTTCGAATCCATGTTTATATAGATATGTTTTTAGTAGAAAACGTTATTATTTCTAATAAATACTCTGAATATAGATTTTTTTATATCAATTGAGCCCTTAGCTACAAAGTTGGTATAAGTCCAAAATTAACAATTTGAGAAAATAACGCCTTTGTTTTATTATTCATACTTAATTCTATATAAATGCAATAATTGAATAGGAATTTTCACAGTTTACACAAAAGGATATCATAAAATTAATGTATAAAAATCAAATATGAAATATCTTATTAACAAAGTGAAATAAATATTAAAATATTGGTTTTAATTTCTTATATTATGCACAAAATATCTTTAAGGATAAGCACTTTAAACACCGCCTTCACAAGGTGTGTGAAATCAGACGAAATTACATTGACCGTGACTACGTGCACTGGCTTTTGATGTTATGTTAGTTTACTGCGTGCTTATACGGAGTTACAACACCTGTTCCCAAGCCGCGCAGCCAATTTGTTTCGTTGACAAACCTGGTGCTGCTCATAGTGGCTTAAATTATGAACTGGCAAATGGATAGAGTCATCCTTGACGAACGATATAATAACTTTAACTCGTTTTCGTAAATTTTAGACTTACACCACTTGGAAGCTAAGGGGCTCAAATATAACTGTAATAGTAATGAAAATAGTTTTTTTCTTACCTTTGGTGTTGTCATCGGCATCATCTGCAACAAAAATTAAAATTAATTTGTGATATAAAAATTCAATAGCGCACTAATCTTGTATACCGGGTGGTGTAACTTTTGAACTGTCGAAATATTGGCTCCACTATTGATTTTACAGCGAAGCTGTAGACAGTTTTTTTAAAAGTCTGCGTATGCTAAATAGACATGCCAAGTTTGAACAATTTTGAACAAGCCGATTTTATATAATTTAAGAAAAACTGCATCTATTTTTAAATTGAAATTGAACAGGTAACAATGCAAAACCAAGCAAACGCCAACATACCCCACCAAAAACACTTTAGAATTACTACATTAGTGGTTATTTATTGAAATATACACTCCATTAAAAATAAATAAAATAGTAATCAACTTCCTCTGAGATTGCTAAAAAATACAAATCGATAAAAAAAGTATTTTGTAAGTTAACTACGTTGGCAAATATTTCGATTCTGTTGGTTGTGATTTATTATCGTGTTTCCATAATTTTAAGATAAGTGGATCAGCTTATACAGGATGTTTCATAAAACATGTGCCATCTCTCGTGTGGAGATTCCTCACATAAAAATAAAATTAACTTTTCATATCAACATAGGTCCGATTCTGCTTTGTTTCATAGTTACAGGGTGTTAAAATTTTAGTAATCTTCGACATATAATAATTTTCTTTCAAGTGTTTTTAGTCGAATGAAATTTTAAGGGTAAAAGTTACTATAAGTGCTACATATTTTAATGCTAAAAAGTGTCGATATCTTTATCACCAGGGACGTGCATATGGGTTATCACTGGAATATTTTTCAAAAAAAACGTGTGCACCACTGACTTTTTTCCATCGATATCAAATCATATGAAGATGTAAATCATATACATATATATATATATATATATATATATATATATATATATATTATATATGAAGATGTAAATATTTGGAAAGTTTCCAATCAGATCGTGAATTTTTAAATATTTTAGTGTTTGTTTTGGACAACTGAAGTTTGGTTTGGTTTGGTTTGATTGAAGTTTGGTTTGGTAAATATTTGGAAAGTTTCCAATCAGATCGTGAATTTTTAAATATTTTAGTGTTTGTTTTGGACAACTGAAGTTTTCGGCATTATCTGGTGGTATTAGAACAATTAGAGCTAATATCTCGTCCCGAAGCTCTAGGCCATTAATATCATATTTGTCTCCGTCCGCTAAATAGAGATGAAGATCCATACAATGCTTTGTTGTTTCCTCTCGTTGATATTCTCGAGAACTGTGAAGTCGTATAAAAACGAAAAATAGTCCGAGTGAGCTTTTAACAACCTTTCCTGGAGAGCCTCATGGATTGTATCCAGGACAACAAAGAAAAATTCGATTTTAAACTTTTCCTGTGGATCTAAAATTGACTCATCCACTGATTCATACAAAAACTGTCTAGTTTAATTTTCTGGGACGAGCTCTAATGTCATTAGTAAAAACTGCTTCAATTTCCAGCTCTTCTGCCAGCTCTGCAGCATCCACTAATATTTCTCTAAAATGGTCGGCAGTCCTTATTTTGACAAAATAGTCGTCGATAGCTTTTAGAGCTTTTGTGGACTCAATGATGTCGAGTTTCACACTCTGAAGCAGTTTACTAGTTGCATTTATACTGTTACTGTTGGAAATTTCGTACCGAAAATGACCATTTTCCCAAAATAGTAGTACTGACGCATGACGTACCGAATTTGGTCAAGATGTACCGAATTCAGTACAATTGTACCGAAACGGCCGCTCTCAAATTTGGCCGCCTGGAGCAACTGATCCTCTGCTCCACCCCTCAAGACGGCCCTGATAAATCGAAAAAATATTAAGATTTTAAAACCCTGTAGCTACGAAACAGAGCAGAATCGGACATATGTTGATATGAAAAATAAATCTTATTTTTACGTGAGGAATCTCCCCACGAGAGATGGCACATGTTTTTTGAAACACCCTGTATAAGGAGGTGATTCAATGTTCTCTAAGGTTACGCAATGACATGACTCTTAATAGAAGATTATTTTCTTTTATCTATGGACATGACGCAATGACGAGATGCATTATTTAAAATTCAACCTAAAGTGACAACTGTAATGTAAAAAAAACGTACTGCACAACGCAGCATTTTTTGCAGTCAGAAAGTAAAGTTAAACGGGAATGTTTGCAGGTTTTTCGAAAATTAAATAAAAATAGAAAACCGAGCGATAACGTGAAGCCCGCACTGGATGTCGGCTGTCTCTATTTATAAAGTTGATAAAAACTGCTATATTAATCAGGAAACTTTTTCAAAAAGCTTTTTTTCAAAAACGAAAAGTGTTTTCTAATTTTCGTTATTAAAACCCACGCACTCTTTGAAGCTTAATTAGAAAAAGCACTCATTTTAATTGGATTAAAATCTATGTTTTATAAAATTACATATTTATAGATACTAAAGTTGTATTTAAATTTTCGAGTCGTTGATAATTGTGTAAATAATGTTGTTGTTTATCTTTTTAATCTCTCGGCTTACTATCTAATACTATTTGTTATCTAACCTTCATCTTTCTTTGAAAAATTATTACCATTTTCTTTTTGAACTAATTCTATCTTCATTAAAATTTTCGACATATTATTTAAATTGTATTGCAATAAATGTATTTGATATGAATTTTGAATTTTATAAAATTATCCTGTAATTAATATGAATAATACCGTTTGATCGAATAAAAACGGCGTCAGCGATGGCTATGAAATGAAGATCGCTGTCATTTTATATGTAAAATTATATTGGAAATGTCATCGATCGTCATTTCCAAGCCAACTGGTCACCATTTTTTTTTCGATCATACGGTATTAAAGGATCCTGTAGGTTTTCCCTGTACTCGGAGTTTTTGTCTTCTACTCTACGGCAGTAGTGGAGTATTTTCTTTTATACCAGGTGCGTCTCAAAAGTGGCTTACCCCATAACTGTTTTTTTTAAATAAAAAATCGAGATTTGCTATACTAATATATGACATACATTAAGGATTAATTGACGTATTCAATTGTTTTCGGTCAGTTCCTGTTTCACCGGAAGTGACTACAACTTTTGATTTTTAAATGGCACCTTTGGTATTTTGTTCTTTATTCGATATAAAATGACAGTCTGAATAGAATGACATATCATATGTCAACTTTTGACATTTTCGAATATGGTTTATTTGAACATACGATTCATAACGACAATTTCACTCGAAATACCAAGTGTGTGGTACCAAATTATTCGTAAAAAAATGCTCTTTCCAAATATGCTAATGCGCCACTATCGTTCCATTTGAAAAAATTGAGATATGATTAAAAATACGATTTGGGCATCTTTTAACCGGCCAGGAAAAGACACTAAAAACATTAGACGATCAAATATATTTTCCAAGGCTCCTTGATTAAAAACTAGTGTTTTTAACACAGCCTTGACACTCTAGATTGAAATTTCAAATTCAATTTTATTTTAAGCGAAAATGTCAAAAGTTGACATATGATATGTCATTCTATTCAGAATGTCATTTTCTATCGAATAAAGTAAAAAAATACCGACGGTGCCATTTAAAAATCATAAGTCATTTCTGGTGGAACAGGAAGTGACCAAAAACAATTGAATACGTCAATCAATCCTAATTTATGTCATATACTAACATACCAAATCTCGTATGTATGTCTGAAAAAAAAAATAAAAAAAAGTTATAGGAGTGAGCCACTTTTGAGACGCACCCGGTCTATCAGTTTCCGGGATATAAGCAAAAGAGTGAAAAGAAAACATCTCCTTCCCCTCCTCGAGCATACCTTCTATCTGCGGGAATTTTAACACATATCAATAATTAATTGCAAAGAAGCAGTTTAACAGCATATCCAAAACTCTTAAGATTTTTGTCACTAATTAGCCATTTTTGACTAATGACTTGGATAATAGGATATATAGAATATTAAATTTAGAACAATCTTCTAGAAACTTGGTATAAATATAGTTTTATTATTTCCTCCCTTAGTATGAAATTATGAAACAAATAATAACAGAAATAGAAATATCTAATACGAAAATCACGTAGTTTAAACATCTAGGGGGTTTATAATATCATGTTATATATCACAGCTTTATTATGTAAATAGTTTGGTCCTTGGCTTTTATGATTCCCTGGGCATACTATCTAGAAAATTAATAATATTATAACTTTCCTTATATTTTGGAAATGACTGCGACATTTTCTTTATGCATTAATTCTCTTTTATGGTTTTAATATCAATCAATGCTTTATTGTTGCTAAGATTCCTCTTGTTAAAAAAGCTGAGCAAAAAAATAAAAATAAAACAAATAAGATTGATACTAAACCTAGGCAAAAAAAATAAACAAAGAATATTAATAAAGAACAAAAACAAAACAAAATAACATATACGAATATCATAAAAATACTTCAGTTAAGAGTACCTATATTAAAATTTAAGGAAATATATACAATTTAAAATCGAATAAAATGTTTCCCAACAGTCAAATTGTCAGTCAGATCAATTGTCAGTCAAGTCAGATTGATCAACCATCAGCAAAATACTCTTCCACGTCAATATGTTAATTGGTAGTGATTGGAATCGAATATGACTAGCTGATAGTGAATAAGCTGTGATTGATATATACATTTAAGGTAAAATACAGAAAATTATAAAATCATACAATACTGTATGATTTTATACTCGTTTTTTTATCTTAAAAAATAAAAAAGTTATAGGAGTGAGCCACTTTTCAGACGCACACGGTATACTAGTTTTTCTAAATAGTGTCTATTTTATGTGCCTATTATTTTATACGAATTACACAAACAACCGAGTAAAAATAATTTTTCTATGCAAAAATAAAACTTCAAAATGCATATATCCCGTTGTATTATTTAAAACTCAACGTAAAGTGACACAGCAATAAAAAAAATAATAATCTGTATACGCTGCAGTTTTTGCAGGCAGAAATTAAAGTTTAAATGTTTTGCAGGTTCTGTCCGAAAT